TGTCTCCAGATTGCTTCAGACCTGGGTTTGAAAATTCCAGTTCCTCCACTTACAGAAGATCCTTTTATTAGAAAGAACGAGGAGAAGGAGAAGAAGAAGACGGGAAGGATGAGGAGGAAGAGGGGGAAGAGAAGGAGGAGGAGGAGGAAGAGAAAGAAGGAGGAGGAGGAGGAAAAAGGGGGTGGGAGGAACAGGAGTGGAAAGGGGAGGAAAGGAGGTGGAGGAGAGGGAGGATGGACAAAATGGATTGCCATTCATCTTTTCAGAAGCGTGCCCAGCCTCTCACTCCCCTGGGATGAGGATCACACTCGTAGGCCTTGCCCTTTTCAGAAGTGCCCTGCCCACAGCAGATGCCTGTTCATTCTCTTGGTGATGGCAGTAGCTTTCAGGGACACTCCCTCTCCCATCTGTGCAGATGAACACCCTGATGATTCTATCTCAGCATGGGTTTGGGAAGGAGTTAGGCATCCGGACAGGGAACTGGCCACATCCGTGTGGCTGGGGCTCAGGAAATGGTCGCCAGGAGACCACAGAGCATGAAGGGAGGGAGCACAGGTCCCAGAGTCAGACAGCCCTCTATCTGAATGCCTAATTGCCATTTAATGACTTGGTAGCCTTGGAAAAATCACCTAGCCTCTCTGAGCCTCAGTTTCCTCATCTGCAAAATGGGCTTCATTTTACTTCTCAGGGTGCTTGTAAGGATTGTATGAGACAAGAATGATAAACCACATGGCATGATGCCTGGCTCAATTAGGGCCAGAGAGCGATAATAGCCCCTTCCTCCCTTTAAATGAAGCATCAATTTTCCCCTGAGCCTTAAGCACCATAGAGGCAGGGACTCTACCAAGTTCAGGGCCGTGTTCCCAATGCTCAGCGCCGTGTCTGGCACATAGTATACAATCAGCATTTGTCCGATGCATGAATAAATGAATTCCTGGTGGTCTGGGGCTGCAGCAGAGGTGGGTAAGATGGTAAGCTAGGTTGTCAACTGCCCAGGTTAAATACCTCTGCAGATCCCAGGAAATCCAGTTAATAGAACTAACCCAGCCTCCTTTTTGTTGGTCTCTGCCTTTGAAGTCGCACACTGCTATAAACCAGGCACCTAAGCAAGTCCCCTACACTCCTCCATCTCCACCCCTTACTCCCTTCTCTGCCCATCTTGCAGAGTGTAGTGAAGTTCAAGTGTGTGTGTGACAGGTTCTGAAATATGAGAGTAGCCGGGCAGACCTGAGGCCTCACTCAGATGTCCTGGGTCTTTCTCTGCTCACATGCCCCTCCCAAAGGATTCTTTGCAGCCAAAGAGAGGGAAGATTGGGAGGAAAGAGGAGTCTTAGGCAGAACTAGGAGGGAACGGGAAGGAGTCTGTACTTCTGTCATTAACAAGTCTTAAACCTCTGAGCCTCGGTATCCTAATCTGTGAAAAGAAGATCTTAAATCCATCTTGCAGCATGAATGAGAACTGCGAAGCAGCAGCCGGCATTCTGTTCACACATCGCAGCTGATCCATATAATCGGGGCTATTGAAAAAACAAAACCCCAGCTATGATATTAACTGCGGAGGAAGGGAGCAGTCTGAGGTTGTTAAAGGCTTGTGTGGAAGGAGCGCTGGAGGCGGGCCTCATCCCCAGCACCTACCAGGGCAGCTCTACTTCCGGACCCATCATCTTGTTCAAGGTGTTGGGATTTTAGGAGAGTGATCATGTTTCCTCTAAAAGAGCTCTCCTGCTTAAAAGAAAAAGAAAAATACAGAAGTTTCAAAACCACGGAAGTAAGTGATATCCGAGGTCGCTCCAGCTGGAATATTCTCTGCACTTACAACACGAAAATGAAAAACCCTCATTTGCAGGGTGGTTGTGGGGGTGGAAGTGGGTGGCGTTTATGGCTAGGGGCGGGGCCACGCTGGCGGGGCATGGGCGGGGCAGCCTGCACAGGCTTAGGGCCCCGAACTCCCCCGGCGGACGCTGGGGAAGAAACCCTTCCGCGCCAGAGCCCCCGCCCGGTGGGAAGGGGGCGTGTGAAGGGAGGATAAATATGTAAAGTCGTCACACCCGCTCGCGCGCTCACAGCCCCCGCAGTCTCGGCGCTGCGGCTGCCACGGCCCAGCGGAGCCAGCCCTTCCATTCCACCTACCTGCTGACACGCGGCTGCGGAGACACAGACCTGCAGGGCCGCCCGCCCCGCCCGCGCAATCCCGGAGACTCCCGGCTGGGGCCGCTTGCTGCCCCTAACTGGAGCTGCCCCCACCCTGCTCTCAGCGGGGCATTTCCCAGGGCTGAACAGCAGCTCCAAGGACCACTCCTCCACCCCCAGCCCGGCGCCACTGCACAGGCCCCAGCGCAGGACTTCCCAGAAGTGCCCAGGTCGGTTTCCCGAGGGCTGGAGGAGCTGAAAACGCCCAGGACCCCCCGGGAGGCCCGACAAATGTGGGGTTTCCCTCTAGGGGGTCTGATTCTGGGGAGTGGGGAGACACGGCAAGGACTTCCGGCCCAGCCGGTGTGAGGGGCAGCGCCCTCCTTCCTCCTGCCAGACCCGCCTTTCCTGCGTCGGGCACCCTTGCTCTGCCATCCGAAGGGGTAGAAGCGGCGAGGGCGCTCTGGCCGTGCCCCACCCGGAGCAGTGACCGCCAGTAGGTTCTCGAAGGCCGGCCTGGGTTGCTCCTCTCCCCGCCCTCCGAAGCAGGCAGGTGGCCCTGCTAAGCCGCCGGCAGGTGCACCTCTCCGGCCACCTCCAGGAAGGGCGCCCTCCTCCGGCACAGCCTACCTCCGGCATCTCTCACGGACTCTTCTCGCACCCCGCCCCCCATTCTGGGTACAGTCTTGGAAGGAAAAAGGAGGGACCCCACCCTCGTGCGTTCTCCTCTACGGAAAAGAGAGGGCTCCCGGCGGCCTCGGACCTCCCCCTGCGCTCCAGACGCAGAAAGTTTCCCATTCGCGATCCGCGTCTGCGCTCTTCCTTCATCCAGAGCAGAGGAGCTCAGAGGCCACGCTGGCTCCCCCGGCCCAGATGCGCTCACCCCCTGCACGCCAGCCCCCGCCTCCCGCAGCCCGCAGAGGCGGGCATAAGGAGCAAGGCGCCAGGATGCCGGGTCAGCTCTCCGCAGCCCGGCAGCCAGAAGAACGCTGCTCCCTGGTTCCAGGGAGAGCTCGCAGGGTGCGGTCCTGACGGAGCCGGGGTTTCCCACCAAGCCCTTCCTATCAGTCCGCTCCCCGACCCTGCTGCGTCTCTCCATTCTGCGCATTCCCAGGGAAAGAGATGCTTACCTCCGGCCCCCAACCTCCAGCCCCCAGCTCCTTGCAATGTCCAGGTGAGGGCTCCAGTGCCTTTCAACAAAGCCCAGTGCCCTCTCGGCGGCGCTGGAAATGGGACCTCCCCCATATATAGCCTTTCCCTTAGAGGCATCCGAAGAGGGGAGCTCTCACCCCAAAGTTGCGGGGGGAGATTTTGATCCACTTTGGAAAGTCTCTTGTTCCCAGGGTAGGGGAACAAAGCTCGCATTCCTTCTGGGTTACACCAACCCCTCCCCCCTCGCTGCCAGGACCACCTTCCAGGCTCAAATTCTGCAGCCTCTCCCATCTGCAGACCCAGCACTCCCCAAGGACTTCGGGGGAGAAGGAGGTGGGGTCATTTCTAAGGGGTCACCCCTTCCTGGTAGGCACTCTCAGAGCCTGGCTAGGCACATCCTGCTGGGACAAGGCTATGGCAAATGACAGAGGTGATGCCCACCTCTATCGCCCAGTGGGGCTAGGGGTCTAGACCTTATTGATCATAAAGGCGACTTTTTGGCACCTCGCGTCCTCCTCCCTCTCCGAGGCGTAGGCCAGGCTCACTCCAGACAGGCTGGGGTTGGCACCAGGCTCCAAGGAGGATCCCGGAAGCGGACCCTTTAGTCTCGGTGCCCACGGCTCTTCGCGCGTCCCGCCTCCCTCCCGCCTGGCTCTCCGATCACTGCATGAACGGTGCCGGGGTCGCCAGGTTCGGCTCCATCACCGTTTAAGACGCACTACGCGGCGGCACTAGCTGGGCGGGAGGCCGGCTGCGAACCACGGATCCTGGAGCTGCGGAGCCACCTCTCACAGGCTCCGGAGAACCCGCTTGGCTTCAACCTCCTTCCAGTTGGCTTAGCCTAGCCCGGGAGCAAGTCCACACGGGACACACACACACACACACACACACACACACACAGAGCTGCTCATAACTCCCCAGCCCCGGATGCGTCCATACCTTCTTGCACACAAGAACCACACGCTCCATGGCAAGCTTACACACACTCCCAGCCCCACGAAGCACACGAGCCCCCCCCCCCCCGCACCTGCACCCCCACCCATCCCAGATAAACACACTCCTGCCCAAGTGTCACAGTCCGATCTCTTGTGGACACAGAAATAGTCATCCGCCGTCTCACACCCCTAAAGAGACCCGCACACTCGGGACACGCGTGAAACGCCTAACCTCACAAACCCACCCCCAACACCTCACATCCACAGCGACACAAGCTCACACACTTCACACCCTCACCGAGAAGCTGGCACATGTTTACAGAGCCCCCAACATTCGCTCACACTCACATACACTCACCTTCTCCGTGTAACTGACACAGACACTCTACCACCCCTCCAGACACTCGCTCGCTCGCACACAGACCCCACACCATCACACGCGCACACGCACACACACACTCGCCTCTCTAAATACACTCCTGCACCTTCTCCCCACACAGCTCCTTCCCGGACACCCTCACACAGAGACACAACAAAGACACCCGCTTGTATACACACGCGCGCGCGCTCGCGCACACACACACACACACACACACACACACGGGCACAAACCCACGAGCGCGCTCCAAGAGGCGTCCTCCCTCCCTCATTAAGCCAATCAGCTCCACAGATCCCAGGCAGGACCGGTGCTAGTAGCTGGAGCCTCTCGGAGCGACCCCGGCCCTCGTCCTCCCCCGGCGCCGCGTCCCCCTCCCGGCTTCCGCCTGGCGCCCGTGCACTCACCGCGCGCCAGGTCCAGGATCGCGGCGATCAGTAGGCAGACGCAGCGGCGGAGGCTCGGGGCGGCTCGCATGGTGCCCGGGAGCTGGCGGCGGCGGCAGTGGCGGCGGCTACTGCTGCGGCGGCGGCGGGTCCCCTCGCCATGGGCTCAGGCGCGCTCCTGCCTCCGGCCCCTGGTCCAGGCGGTGGCGGGCAGCGCGGGGCGCCGCGGGGGCGCCCCCATGCCGCCGCGGCCGGGCCGCCCAGGCGCCCGGCTGGACTCGGCTTCGGCTCTGCGAGGCTCAGCTACCCTCGCGCTCCGGGCGTCCTCGGGGCTCACCGCGTCTCTCGGCTCCCCTACTGCGCGCGGTGCCCACCACGGCCCGGAGTCCGATCGGCTGCAGCGCCGGAGTTTGGAGCCGAATCGCGTGCTCTCTGCCTCGCGCTCGCCTCTCCCGGCGGCGCGAACACCCCCTCCCCGCGCCCTCCCTGTGTCCCTCCCCCTCTCCCCGCCCCCCGCCCTCCTCGCCCTCCCCTTACCGCGCTCTCCGCGTATTATACAGACTTTCCTTTAATCCTTTCTGGGCTGTTCAGCTCTCGTCCGCTAAGCCGATTTATTGCAGGGAGAAGGAGAGCTCACCCCCTCCCAGCCTCCCCTCTCCCGACTCAGGTCCCCCCTCACTCAAAACTGGCTTGCTGCCTCTAGCTTCTTAACCCTTCCCAGGTGACCCAACACCCCGCCCTGGACGCTCAGCTCTATCGGATCCCCTCCACCTAGGCTCCCCCTATCCCCAGGATTACCGTCGCTCTCTCCCCTCCCCAGCCTGATGAAAGGAGGCAGCCTCCCTTCTGAGAGAGAAAGAGGCCATCCTGGGAGCAGGGCAGGCAAGGTGTGGCTCTGGAGTTCTGGCGTTGCCAACGATGAATGCCCTCATTCGGCAAGGTGAAGGGGTTTCCGTGTTCAGAAACTTTTCAAATATCGGCTGCTCCTTTCCCCAGGGACCCACGGAAATAGAGTGTGTTCTGTCTTTCCTCCCCCACCCCCCCCCCCCCCCCCCCCCCCCGCATGCTTGGATCCAGCCAGGAATGGGTGAGGAACTGGCTGTGTCCTCCTGGCAGAAACCAAGTTTCCACCTTTTTGCCAGACCTGACACATTTTCTCCTCAGGCCTGAGAAGTATGGGTTTGAGACTCGTATCTTACCATTACCGTCACCATCCCACCAACACACACACACACACACACACACACACACACACACACACCATTGAGCCTCAGGCCTGGCGGTGGACCTTGATGTCTCCTGTGAGGATGAAGGGGAGGGGTACTCTAGCCCTTGGGATGGGTTGGGGAGGTGGTTCAGTGAGGAAATTCAGAGGATAGAATATCACCATTGGCAGAGACCCACAAGATTGGCAAGAGCCAGAAAACCCAGCACTGTCAGGGGCAAAACTGGGCTCAGAACTCAGGTCCCTGGGCCTTTGACCCAGGCCTTCTATGGAGAATCTCTGGCAGGTTGCTGAGTCAGGCTGTTGCTTTGTTTACCTAGATGGGCAGTGGACACATAGCCAGTGCCATCTCCAGCAGCCCTCTGAGAAGGGTGTAGGGAGTGGGGTGGATAGTGGGTGGTTGCCGAGCTGCCTTCCGCAAGTCTCGTGCAGAGATGTCCATGGAAGCAAGCTGCTCCCTCCACCTGCCCTCTGGAACCTCATCCCATTGCTTCCCAAGGCAATCCTGAGGCTCAGCTTGCTCACCCGCGGCAGAAGGAGCAATTTGCATTTATGAAGATCTGCAACCAAACGTTCACACGACAGGCTTTAGAATGATCCTCTCAGTAAAATAATAATAATGATCATAATAAACCCTTATAAATAGGTGTTTGATTACAGTTTGTCCGTACGTGAGATTTTTTTTTTTTTTTTTTTGAATCAGACTAATTGGTTGCAGGTTGATTGGACTGCATATGGCTTGAACACTGGATGAACACTGGAGCCGGAGGTCCTTTCTTCTCCCTTTGGCTGCTGTTCTTTGCTCCCTCTCACTCATATCCACCCAGGCCTCTCCTTCTCCAAGCTGCTGAGGGTCAGCTTGAGGTCACCTCTCCCCCTCGCCTTCTTTTGGGGCTGCAGGGCACAGCCTCCTCCCTGGCCCTCCTCTCCCCACTCTGACCCAGGAAAAAGCCAACAAACCCCAAAGTCTATCCTAGGTTGTAAGCCTGCTGTGGAAGGGGCTCCGTGGCTGGAGAATAGCATCAAGCTGGGGGGTCCCTCGTGCTGAGTTGTGCAGGGAAATAGTATGCCTCACCGTGCTGCTTTCCTGCTCTCCAGACCCAGCTGCAACTCACTGTGTGGCCAGGCAGGTGGACAGCATCAGCTCCTCAGGTGGATTCTGAGTGAATGAGGCTTCCTGGTGGCACTCCCTGTACTCCAGCCATTGGAAAGGAGGGCCAAGGAGCAGGTGGGATTCCAGGGTCCCTTAGTGATGTTTCCTCCCAGCCGTAGCTCACACCAGCTAGAAAGCAGAACCAGCAGAAGGAGCTAGACAATGACATCTGGGGAGACGCTAGTGAGGAGGAAAGCAGGCCTGACAGCCAAGGGAGGGTGCTTCCCAGGACCAAGGACTGGGCCTGGCACGCTGGAGATCTCCTTCAGCCCCAGGACTTCTGAATCACCGCAACTCTGTTTAACATCACCCTGTATTATAATTATTTTTATGCCTAGCCAGTGCCTGGCACATAGTGGGTCCTCAATAAATACTAGTTGGATGGATGCACAAATGAGTGAATGAATGAATGAATGAATGTAGATCATTCAGTCTTATCTACTCTGTTTCTCAGTGTCTTGCACAAGCCTGGCACTTGGTAGGCGTCCGGTGGCAGTGAACCTCCTCGGAGGGCCAAGATCACATGTTTTGACTGGGCCCAACAGAGAGGAAGTGTCTGGCTCAGGTGTGCAGTTGGTTTTGCCCAAAGGTACCTGGCTGTGCTGTGCATGCCTATTGCCATAGGGTAACGATGGTAGTAATACGGTTGCCTTCACAACCCTCTCCTGGGAAGTCCAATACTCCAGCTCCTGTTTCATAAGATACAGCCTTGAAGTCTTTCTTTTGTCCCAGAGAAAGACATCTCTGAAGCACTGAGAAGCACAGTTGGCAGAGGGCACAGGGTGGGGTGACTTAGCCAAAGGAAAAAGTCACCAGGGACAGTCCTGGGGCTTTTAATTTGCTTAATATCCCTCGGCTCCTGTCTCTTAATGGATCAGCAGGGTCTCCACGCTGCAGTCCTGGCACTGAGACCCAGGAGTCATGGCAGGACAGGCCTCTTCCTCAGACACTGGCTGAGCAGAAGCACTGGGCCTCAGGGTGGCCGGAGGTGTGGCTGCCTGCCCCCAGCCTCCTTCTGTCCATGGTGCTGAGCTAGGCTCTCCCAACAGAGGGCACTACAGCACAAAGCAAACTTCTCCCCCCTGCCCCAGGGAATAGCCCCAGAGGTCAAAGAACCCCTCTGTGACCTCTAGTCCCCACCTTCCCAGGGAAGGGATGCAGCACCTGACTGCCTTCCCCAGCCTGGCTTTGAAGGGGCTGGACTCCGCTGGATTGCAGCAGGACACCCAGTAAGATTCAATAAGAGTCATAAGCACTTATTAAAGTGCCTCTCTGTTCTGGGTGCTGTGAACTTATTTAATGTGTATAATAAATTCATTCATACCACACAATAATGTATGAAGTGGGTCCCATCATTAGTCCTGTCTTACAGATGGGAAAGCTGAGGCACAGAGAGGTTAAGCAACTTTCTCAGTATAGTGCAGCTAGGAATAGGACCAGATTTGAACCCAGGAAGAGCTCCAGAACCAGAGTTCTCAAATACCTTACCTAGACACAGTACACCACACATAGACAAACACACAGGCACAAACACACACAAGTGTACACACACACATGACAAGTGTACACAAAGAGGCACACACACACACAAATGTACACAGCCACACACACATGATGTGTCCACACACAAACATGGGCATACACACAAGTGTACACACACAAACACAGGCACATACAACAAGTGTACACACATACACACAGGCACACACACATACCCACAAATGTCCACACATACATGCACACACACATGGGTCCACACACACACAGGCACACACACACACAAGAATGTCCACACACGTGTCCACACACATGCACGTGCACACATGTGTCCACACACATACAAGCACACACGCACATAAATGTCTACACATACATGCACACACACGGGTCCACACACACACACAGGCACACACGCGAATGTCCACACACAAGCACACACATGTGTCCACACACACGCACACAGGTGCACACAAACATGACCACACACATACAGGAACACACACACACAAGTGTCTGTACACATATACACAGGCACACACAGCTTGGAAGCCAGTATTTGGATAGGAAAACTCATGAATCCAGTGCTTTCCACTTCTCTTATCTCATTTAATCCTCCTGTAAGTCCCCTGTGGTTTACAGGTTAGGAAACTGAGTCTCAGAGAAGTAAAAATAATTGCCCAAGGTGGCTAGGTTAGGGGAGTGCTGGATTCTGGGGACAGGGATCTAGTGTGGGCTTCCCCAGGCAGGCCCTGCCCCAGGGTCCACATTTCTCTCCCTCTCTATCCTCCTCTCTCCCTGTCTCATCAACCCACTCACTTCTGCAGTGCTCCCTCTGGCCTTCCTATCCTGCCCTCTGCCTCTCTGTACTGGGAATTAAACTTCCACCAGCCTGTACCACAGTCAGGACAGGGCTTTTTATTGTTTACCTAAATTAAATGCAACTGAAAGTGACACCTTAACACCAGTGACCCAAATTGATATGGAGTCAGCCACTTGGAATTAGGTTCAATGCTCTGTCCTTAATGAACCTCAGCCCCACCTGGACTCCCAAGCTCCGTCACATCTTCCCGGTGAAAGACACCAGAAGTGTGCATGGGAATTTCAAGCTGTAGTCTGGGGAAGGGGCCTCAGCGTTATGGAACCAGAGAAAAGAGCTGGACCCAGGACGACCATTGTTCCCCAAACTGGGTCCCACTGACCGTTCGTTTTTAGGTTTGTAATAAACATTTCTTTCAAGAGGGTTTCATAGCTAAGTATATTCAAGAAATGTTACAAACTCAGCTGTTCTCCACTTAGAAGTTTATAGTTCACACGAGCTTACGACAGGTTAGGAGAAGTCCTGCAGTTGGTTGTGTGTGGGTTGTCTGTGTTTGTTTCCCAGTTTTATTTAGTAGAAGTCCACACTTGTTTGGCCTCAGAACCCTCTTTCCATTAATACCTATTAACATCGTGTGGGCAACAGCTCCGTGAATCACAGGGAGGAAAGGGCTGCTCTGGCCCCAAACAAGCCTCCTGATCTCTTCCTTGCTATCATAGCAGTGGAAATAGTAATAATACAACAACCACTGCCAATTGATGGCATTTATTGAGTGCTTACTGTGTG